CCTTGGCATCGTCTTTGCTTTTGCCCTCCTTGAGGGCGTTCTTCATGGCAACATGGTAGGCCGAGGATTTCACACTCCTCCTTTTCTTTTCAGCTTCTGACAGTTGTCGGGTCCTGGGGGGCGGGTGCGTGGGCAGCTCCGGCAGGTTAATCGGGTTCGCGATTAGGGCGCCGTTTGTGGGGGCAGTCTGCTCCTCTATGGGGGCAGTCTGCTCGACTATGGGGGCAGTCTGTTCCTCTGTCGGGGCAGTCTGTTCCTCTGTCGGTTCCTCTGTCGTGGCCACCTGTTTGTCCTCCACCTCCTGCTTGTTTCGCTTGCGCTTTGTACCGCTGCCTTGCGCCGCTGCCCTTGCCTTCGCCTTTGCCTTTGGCTGGCGCTTGGTTTTTGGGGCGGTCTTGGGGCTCTCTCGCGCTGCTGCCCGCGCCTTCGCCTTAGCTTTTGCCGCTGCCTTCGCTTTTGCTGCCACCTTCGCCTTTGCTTTGGGCTTGGGGTTTGTCTTGCGACTCTCCTTCTTCTTTAAGTTCTTGAGCATGAACCTCTCCTCTGGCGTCAGTTCGCTGTCGGATGAGTTGGACTCTTCCTCCTCCTCTTCCTCTGGGTCCTCGCCTGGGTCTTCTTTGCGCTTCTTGGATGTGAGCTGATTTTGCTCGCTGGGGGTGATGTATTTCACGCCCTTGACTGCGGCTGGCCTTTCATCATTGGTCACTGGGGGACGGTCGCTTTGGTCGCTAGTAGATGCTGCTGTTGCTGGTGTTGCTGCTGCTTTTGTTCGCTTTCTCTTCTGCCATGGTGTTGCCTCCTGCCCTGGTGTTGCCTCCTGCCCTGCTGCAGCAACTGCATCCTGCTTCCTCTTGATGTTCTGCTTTTGCTTCAACTCTTTCGCCTCTGACGCCGCCACCGCCTCTGCTGCCGCTTGCGCTTCCTTGCGATGCTTCCGTTGCCTTTTGCGAAGGTCAGTAACTGCCTCCTGAAGCTTCTTCTTTTGGGTTGCCTCCACTCGCTGCCTTTCCTTAGCTTCTTTCTCCTCCTCAGCTGCTGCCCGCCTTTGCTTCTGCTCCTGCACTGCCGCCTGCCTGCGCTGCTCCTCCTCAGCTCTGTCCAGGCTGCGCTTCTTCTCCCCTGCCGCTGCCTGCATTTGCTTTTCCGTCTTTGCAACTGCCAGCATTTCCTGCTTTTCTTCCTCGGATAGCGCGTGCTTCTTTAGCTCAACTGCCGCTTGCCTTTGCTGCGCATCCTCCGACGCTGACTGCCCCTCCTCGTTCTCAGCCGCCGCCTGCCCTTGCGCCTGCCCCACAGCTGCTGAACGCCTTCGCTTCGCTTCATGCTGTGTCTTCTCAGCTGCCGCCTGCCTTCGCTTCTCTTCTGACGTTGCCTGCCTTTGCGCCTCCTCAAGCGTCGCCTGCCGTTTCTTCTCCTCCTCAGCCGTTGCTGCCTGCTTTTGCGCCTGCGCCTCAGCTGCCTCCTTCTGCCTTTTCTCTTTCTCAGCTCCCGCTTGCTTTTGCAGTTGCTCCTCAGCTGCTGCCTGCTGTATCTTCTCAGCTGCTGCCTGCCTTCCCCCCTCCTCCTCCTCAGCCGCGGCTGCCTGCTTGTGCATCTGCTCCTCAGCTGCTGCCTCCTCCTTCTGCCTTGTCTCCTCCTCAGCTCCTGCTTGCCTTTGCATCTGCTCCTCAGCTGCTGCCTGCCTTCGCTCCTCCTCCTCCTCCTCCTCAGCCGCTGCTGCCTGCTTTTGCATCTCCTCCTCAGCTGCTGCCTCCTTCTGCCTTGTCTCCTCCTCAGCTGCTGCTTGCTTTTGCATCTGCTCCTCAGCTGCTGCTGCCTGCCTTCGCTCCTCCTCCTCCTCCTCAGCCGCTGCTGCCTGCTGTTGCATCTGCTCCTCAGCTGCTGCCTCCTTCTGCCTTGTCTTTTTCAGCTGCTGCTTGCTTTTGCATCTGCTCCTCAGCTGCTGCTGCCTGCCTTCGCTCCTCCTCCTCCTCCTCCTCAGCCGCTGCTGCCTGCTGTTGCATCTGCTCCTCAGCTGCTGCTCCCTTCTGCCTTTTCTCTTTCTCAGCTCCTGCTTGCTTTTGCAGTTGCTCCTCAGCTGCTGCCTCCTTCCGCCTTCTCCCCTCCTGAGTAGCTGCTTGCTTTTGCGTCTGCTCCCTTTTTTCCTCCTCAGCTGTTGCCTGCCTTTGCTTCTCCTCAGCCACTGCCGCCTGCCTTTGGTTCTCCTCCGCTGTTGCCTGCCTTTGCTTCTCATCCTTCTTCTCCTTGTCAACTGCTGCCTGCCCTTGCATTTGCTCCTCAGTTGCTTGCTTCGCATCCTCAAACGCTGCCTGCCTATGCTCCTCAGCTGCTGCCTCCTCCTGGGCTGCTGCATTGTTTTTGTCTGCCGCCTGCTGTGCTATTCCTTCGGTCGATGCTGCCGCCACGTTTTGCTGCACATTGCCAATGACCCTTGTCTTTGTTTCTGCCTGTTCTGCAGGGTCGCTGCGATTCTGGTCCTGCGCCTGCATGCCCTTGCCATGCTTTTCAGTCCTCTCATCTGAGTTCAGGAATTTGTTCAATTCTGCGTCAGTCCAAGCATGCTTTGTTGGTCGCGCGTAGGGCGGCTCCGGCTCGAAGTGCGTTGGCAAGGTGTCCATGTTATCCATGCCTTGGCTGCAGTCAGCGAACAAATGTAGGTTGGACGGGGGTTGCGTTATGTGGCGCTAGCCATGATACACATGAAGTGCAAACAGGGTGCATACGCCAGGCTTGTGGGTGGCCATTTTGATCTTTTGTAACAACAACTGTTCCAGCCGCTTCTGCTCTTTCTTCAGCAGTTGCAAGATATGGGCTTTCTCAGAGCTGATGTCATCGGCTGCTGGGCACAGGGCTGGTTGATCTTTGGCTGTTTTGGTAGCGCTGCCCAACTCCGGGGCTTGTGTCTTGGGCGGAGGGGTTTTCACAGCACTTGGCGAAGGCTCTGGGGCGCAACTTGGGGTACACTCCTCCATCGTCTGAGGTGGTGGCACGTGCTTCGGGCGCGGATCCTCGGCACCTTGCCAGGGCTTCCACATTAAATCGGACCCCCGCACAAAAAGGGTGTTAAAAAAGGATTCCGACAAGCACGTACAACACCGGCCTGTCTCTTGTTGAAGCGGAGCCGGCCCCATGGAATCGCAACACGTTGTGGTGTCCTAAGATTTGCTGTTTTCAAAAAGCAACAAGGGGGAACAATTATTGCAGAAAAACAAAAGAGCTTGCAACTCAAATTTAACTGGAGGCTGCGCTGCATCTTCAGAAGCTGGCATGCCGCTGTCGCTGTCAGCATTTTCTGAGTCACTGTCTGAACCTTTGATTCGGGCCAAAGACTCGAAGGGCATGCCAGTATGCATGTGAAAGCGCAAGTTCATCGGGGTCCAAGCGGCAATTAGAATCATCCTGGGGAGGCTCAATCCCGGCAAGCGTGAATAGGTCTCGCATTAGTTTTTCTCGTGGCCAATGGGGTCGGCGAGCTATCCGCCCAAAGACAGTTACCAGTCGTCGGACCTTCCAAGCCTCGACTCGGATTTTCCCACCTTAATTAGCCAGAGCTTCGCAACTACACAAAGGAAAGATCCATGCACCCAAGCATGCAGAAGCAGGAAATAAACATGTTCAGCCCAGTAGCTTCCTAGCCTTGGCTTCCCCCGCGGTCTTGTCCGCCACAAGAATTCCCGGCAAAGGTCGGCCAAGAGATCTATGTGAGGCTTGAGGCCAGCAAACTCGATGACAGGCCGCACCACCAAGTGGTTCTCAATGATGTCTTCCCGGGTCACGTTTTTGCCTATAATGATTGCCATTCTGCCACTGGCACCACGATTGCAAACGGTCTTGTTGGAGAGCCACGCTTGGACCACAGGGGAGTCAGAAGTTTCAAAGCCATCGCCGGTTGCCATGGGATTGAAACTGTGTGTGGTTTGGCTTTTAAGTTGGCATGTGCCAAAAAACACGACTCAACAGCAGGGCATGCTTGGCGCACTAGCTTACATTGGCTTGCGGGTGCCAGCTAGGTGTCATGCCCATATGAACCATCACCGATTGATCTCAAAGGTCCGCAATCGATAACTACAAGCAGGCAGGCATAATGACACCCGGCACTGCAAACCAGTGATTGGGTCACTTCATGCGCATGATCGAGCTTCAGCCATGATGTCAGCAGGGCGTACCTGCCCACCAAGGTCGAAAGCCCCACGAGCGCGGGGGCCGTGAACTGCTCACAGGCAAACATACACACAAAGGGCGCACCTGTGCACGCCCTGGTCGGCTACCAAAACTGTGCCATGAGCCCGGTTGCAGCAGGCACAGCCAAGCTCTGTCCAAAAGCGCTCGATCTTGAAAAAAATGCTCGAGGCATTTCTTGGCAGGGATTGCGGGGAAAAAGGCTCGACCACAAAAATGAAGTCGTTCTGGGGGGGGGGCGTTAATTATGATGACGATTGGGGATACAGGTAGAGTTATGTCAAAGGACCTATTTTCTGAGTTCCTCTGGACTTGAAACATTTTTGGGGAGACCCTTCTAGTGGCCAACAAACAGTTCGGAGTTTTCTTGCCTAAACGACTCAGGAAGCGAACGTGTGAGAAAGGAGCACTTAAACCGAGCCCCCCTGTGCTGGTTACAAGGACACATTTCGGATGCCTGGAAAAGCCTCACGCCCCTCCAAAAACACTCGCGCGCACCCGAGCCAATGGCCAGGAGAAACCAGGACACAATCTTCGGGGGGGGGGGTCCTTTGTTACGGAAACCAGGAACAAACAGAACGAAGGGCACAGGGAGGTCGCTTCCCCATATTAATATGAATATTCTGTTCAACCATCGGGTGTTTGGTTTCCTGAAAATGATTCCACCGGAAGATGGCTTCCTTCAAACACGGAAGAAGCCACACATGGGATGTCCGTCTCAATTTGGTTACTTGGTTTTGCAATCCAGCTGCGAAAGTAGACATGAACCGCCCCACCTTAACCATTAGGCCCCCTGTTGGCTCAGTCTTTTTCTGTTTTGATGCTTTTTCGGGGATCCCCAAAAGGTGGCAAGGCCTTCCCCGCGGCCAGCGCCCCCGCCGCCATGGCCGCGGCGCACTCGCGGCCGCCTTGGCGGCTGAAGCTGCGGGGCCTCGATGGCACGGAGCTGTGCCTCCAGGCGGCGCCGGAGATGTTGGGCCGAGAGCTGCTGCGCCTGGCGAGGCGCTCGCCACGGGAGTTTCGATTCGGAGAGAACGGGAGCCTCAAAATCTTTGGTGCATTTTGCCAAGGGATGTTTTAGGACTTGAACTTTTGCCAACTAATGGGTTTTCCATCAAAACCACAAAAAGTTAAACTTTTAGCAGGGGAGTAGAAAGCAACCGAGAAACGGTGTGCTTCCTGTTGTCTTCAAAAAGCCGTGCGGCTTTCCGCTCGAGTCGTCGGCCCCATTTCCGGCGTCAAGTTTCTTTTGCAAGCAACAATGGGGTAGCCTCAAAAAAAAAGGGCGACCTTTGTGAGACTCACTTTCCTTGAGTTGTTTGTTGTTGATGTGTTTTGTTTTCTCACTCAACCTGAGTTCCGAAACGCGGACGTGAGTCGCTTCTGGGGCTTTGCGGCCGTTTTAGAGCAAATTAAACAGCTTGGACTTGTTTTTGACTGATCCACTCCGGAAGCGAGCTTTTTTGGTTCCTCTTTGGTTTTCCGTTAAACCTACAAACAAGAGTTCAGATGGTTTTCCTAGCCAACTTAAAACATCTGGGGTTTGTCATGTTGTGAGTTGGTACTGTTTTCGCGCTTCAAAAGGGACTCCAAGAGGAAACCGCACATTCTTGGGGGGTCCCTATTTTGAGACCCCCACTTGAGCTGCGCACACTTCACCAGGCAAGTTCCTTGTGTGAAGCCCAAAAAAATGGCGGCCGAAGTACCTGCGCCACCCGGAGGCCAACGAAAGCTGGCTAAAGCCAGCTAAAGCTAGCCATACTGTGGATGGACGAAATCCATTTCGCACCACTTGGACAGCAAGGGAAACCATTATTTGTTGGTATTTACAGGGGAATCATCCTTCCAGGGTGTCTGAGGTGGTGCAGGATTTCGTCCATCCACAGTAGCACATACCCCAGCTTAACTTTCAGGGGAATCCGAGTGTAAACCTCCAATTGGGATAGGTGCACCACCCATTTGAGAACCTATTTTAAAGTGGGGATTGGGATGTTCACTGGGGGCTAACCGGGGTTTTGACCCATGGCCATATGGGAGTTTCTGAAAAACTAATGTAGTGTCCTTCTGCTTCTCAGTTGTTCAGTGGCACCCTTTTTCCCTTTTGTTTAGTGGCTGCCCCACTAAAAATGGTCTTCCCCCAAAAAGGGTTCCCCCTTTGTTCCAGGGTCACTGAAGCGAGGCTTGGTAACCCACAGGAAGCCGAAAAACACCGCTGGAGGTCACAGCTTCCAGCCAAGCCCGGCGGAGTGCTGCACTTGAGCTTCGGCAGCGCCCAGGTCGTGCCCCTTGGAAAGCAACGGAAGGGATCAACTTGCAAAAACCCGGGGCCCTTGGGGGTTCGGGCTTCCTGGGGCTCGGGCTTCCTTATGGGAAACCAGAAAAGAGAGAGCCTAACATATCTTTGCTACGTGTTTTTTTTGTTGTTTTCCGTGGGGGACCGCTTGGAGGAAAAGAACCCTATGGTAGGTCTGGCAAGTGGTCTTCACCGAGAGGAGTAGGAGGGTGAGGAGACGTTCAACCTTCAGAAGCTTTGGGAAAGGGAAATGAGGATGTCCGCCCCCTGGATTCCGGGATTGAGATGCTCCTTTTGCTTAGCTCAGTATCTCACACATGGATCATCAAACCCAAACGGTTCCAAGTCGCTTCGCGCTTTGGACAGTGGGCAAATATACCTTGGCTCTTTGGTTGCATCTTGAACCTTGGAACTCGTGCTGTTTCCGAATACACAGAATCTTAGCTTTTTTTCACCACCCAGGGCCAGACACCAATTTCTACCTTGAGTTGTGGTTTGGGTGGCCCCGATTTTTCGTCCCCAGAGCGGTTTGCGGTTAAGGATGGGGAATGCTTCCCCCGTTGTTGGGCTCAAGGCTCGGGAGACGGAAACAGTCAGCATTAAACTTACTTCCCTTTGCGATTCAGAATATGTTTCTCATTTTCCGCTGTTGGTTTTAAAAGGGAATCGATTTCACTGCTGGACATAATTTCTCATTTTGTTGAGGGGGCGAAACAGCAAATGGAAGATCAGCTCATGACACGCTGCAAGGGGAGCCATTGCAGCGTTTTATCTAAGATGGCTTCGACGACCCCCAAACCACTACCCCCAGAGGTTCAAACACATTCACAAGAGTAACAATAAATCACTATACGCAGGGTGCCTCATTTGTCCCTGAAGGTGGTTTTAGGGCAGTGACTATTAGTACTTGGAAGCTCGGCCAAGTTGGTAAGTGCTTAGCCACTTGGGTTATAGCCCCTCAAAACAAGGTTAATCAAACTTCGGGGGGCTTATGAGTTGGTTGTAACCAAGGTTGGCTAATAGAACCCCCAAGTAAGTAGTGATCAATGGCGACTAGTAGGGGCCGTCGAGGACCATCCAAGGCCAACTGTTTCCATGGCTCCCTCTTCCCTTAGGGTTGGTAGGAACGGTCATGTATAAGATGTTGACCATGGAGGCCACCCTTTCGGCTTCCTTCGGTGTGGGTATATTTTTTTAAGGCATTGATCAAACAACAATCCTTAGTTCCAAGGGTTGAGTTACACAATAGGATATGTGTTGAATAAGAAGCACCCTTTTGTCGTCAACATACGCGTTTAGCCAGTCCTTTGGTACCTTGCGGGAATGTACATCCGCTACCCTTTGGGTTTAATTGGAACCCCGGATTATTCAACCTGGTTGATTAATAAGGGGCTGTCCCCATTTAGTGGGGATTCATTATTTTTCCAGAGGAACCACCCCTTCTATGTACTGTAATGGGAAAGGGTCCAGGGTTCATGAATCCGGGGTCAATATTAGGAGGTTTTGGACACAGGCCCAACAAGACCCTGCAGCAGCTGGGTCTCGACAAAATCGATTCCTCCGGGTGCTTCACCTACACGCGGGTGAACTTGTTGGATGCCTGGCTTGCCTTGCAGGGATTCAAAGTGAATCTTGTCTGCGGTTTGCCAGACACCCCAGTGGGTTGATTCCTTTGTGTTTTTTTTTGAGGGGGAAGACCCTTTTAACTTGCTGCTGCTCAGTAGGGAATGGAGAATGAGGGAAGGGAATGAGGCCACAAGTGATGGTTTATAGGGGTGATTCTCAGGGAATGAGGAAATGAACCCAGAGACTCCCTTAAAGGGAAACCACTGATTCCCACCTTCCCTACTGGGCACCAGCAAGTGTAATCTACAACCCGAGAAGGGGTAACCCCAGCAAGTTTTGCCGCCAAGAGTCTGGGGGTTCTTGAGTGACTTCTGTGCGAACCGGAGCCAGTGCTTGCACCACCGGAAATGTTGTTGGCACTTGCTCCTTCCAAGTTTTGTTGTTGTGACATATACGGGCGTGTCGTTTTGAGAGTACATCTGTTTTGGGCGTTTAGAGGAAAACCAAAAGGAACGCTCCCAATTTGAGGGGGGGGGGGGTTCCCGTGATGTGGTTTACATATACATGCTGCGGTTTGCTTGGATAGGTTGCCTTGTCCCGTTTGTTGTGGAGCAAGTGCAACTAAAATATGTTCCCACTTCGTGAAAGCAGCACTCGGTCCCGCAGTAGTGCCCTTTTACCCTTTTTGAGGGGAGGGTTGCCCTACTAAAATAGACTACAGAAAAAAGTTGGTACCCTTATTCTAACCTCTCTACTGGAGGACCTAGAGCATGAGCTCTTTTATTGCCCAGGGACAATCACTACCAAGGAATGCCGAAGCCCTAGAGGGTGTCACCGAGCTGAGCTTCAATCGCGAGTTTCGACGTCCTTTGCAGGGCCTAACTTTTCCCGGCAGCCTGCGGAACTTGACTTTCAGCGTAGAGTTCAACCAAAGGCTGCAGGGGGTGGATTTGCCAGAAAGCCTGCAGAGCCTGACTTTTGGTCATTGCTTCAATCAACCCTTGGACGGGGTGACTTTGCCGAAATTCTTACGCAGCCTAACGTTTGGCGAGACTTTTGACCAATGCTTGCAGGCAGTCGAGCTGCCAAGAAGCTTACAAAGTCTGAAATTTGGCGAAAGCTTCAGCCAAAGTTTGCACGACTTGTCTTTGCCCAAGAGTTTGGAAAGCCTGACTTTGGGCGGAAGGTTCAACGATCGTTTGCATGACGCATGGCCAGACAGATTTCACTGGCTCTCTTCCATTCCATGGCTGGGCAGAAGCTTACTGGGAGTTAGCCTGCCGAGTAGTTTGAAGAGCCTAACGTTTGGCGTTGAGTTCAACCAAAGCTTACAAGGAGTGACTTTGCCCGGCAGCCTGCAGAGCCTGACCTTCGGCTTTTTCTTTAATCAGAGTTTGCTGGGCGTGGATTTGCCCAACGCGTTGCAGAGCCTAGCTTTCGGCGTGGAGTTTAACCAAAGCCTGCAGGGCGTCAGTTGGCCGCAAAGCCTTGTACGCCTGACCTTGGGCTTTGCCTTCAACCAAAGCTTAGAAGGTGTGGCCTTGCCGAGATCTTTGGAGAGCCTTACTTTTGGCGACAGCTTCAACCAATCTCTGCATATTGTCGACCTGCCCAGCTTGCGGAGCCTGACATTTGGGGATAGCTTTAGCCAAAGCTTGAACAATTTGCCGGTGCCCAGCTTGGAGAGCCTGAGTTTGGGCGCAAAGTGCAACCAGAAGCTGAAGGGAGTGACTTTGCCCAGCTTGCAGAGCCTGACTTTGGGCTCAGAGTTCATCCAGTTTCGCGGAGTCGCTTGGCCCTGTCTGCAAAGCCTCACCTTGGGCGATGCCTTTAATCAGAGCTTGTCGGGAATGGCACTGCCAAGCAGTTTGCGTTTTCTGACTTTCGGCTTCGCCTTCAATCAGAAGTTGAGGGGAGTTGCTTTGCCAAGCGGCTTGCAAAGCTTGACTTTGGGCAGCAGATTTGACCAAAGCTTGCAAGAGGTCCAGTTTCCGACCACCTTGCAGCGCCTGTCCTTCGGGGACTCCTTCAACAAGCCTCTGCAGGGGGTGGCGTTTCCGAACAGCTTGCAGAGCTTGACTTTTGGCTGGAAGTTCAACAGAAGCTTGGAGGGCGTGAAACTGCCAGGCAGCTTACAGAGCCTGGTCTTTGGCGGGAGGTTTAACCAAAGCTTACAAGGATTGATACTGCCAAGCAGCTTGCGAACCTTGACTTTGGGGCAACATTTCAACAACAGCTTGCAGGACATATCTTGGCCACCCGAGCTGCAGAACTTAACCTTGGGCAAGTTCTTCAACTACATGACGCAAATGCAGCTGCCAGACAGTCTGCAGAGCCTCACGATTTTCTCGTATACAGGAACCGCGCAGCAGTTGACGTTGCCAGGCAACTTGCTCCTATTGCGTATCGCAGCCTTCACCGTGTCTGCGGAGGACTGCTAAGCGGTTCTGCGAGATGTCTCTGCGAATCTGGCTTGGCTTTCGCTTGTGCTCATCACACCTTCCGTTTGCTCAACATAGTTTGCTTCTAGTTTCGAGTTGGCCATAGGGGCAAGGGTGTGAATAGTATGTCCACAACTGGGGACACAGGTACATACTGTAAGCTTTTCTCAGCCGGTGTCGGGCCTCAAACTGTATGGGGCGTGTACGTGAGTGTGTCCGTTTTCTTACGGGACCCTCAACATGGTGGTTTACCGGATGCCCTTCAAAAACCACAAAAGAAAATGTACCCTTAAAAAAGCGACCTTTGTGAGACTCACTTCCTCAGTTTCTGGACTTTAGTCACTTTTTGTGTTTGGACCATTTTGGTGGTGAATCAGCAGTTCCATAACTTTTTTGGTTTCACTCCACTCAGAAAGTGCGGAGAGAAGCCAATCCACTTGGTTTAGACTTGCGAACCAAAACGAAGTGATCGCCAACTCTGTGAGCCAGTGCCAAGTTTGCGGTGGCCAAAACGTGCTTCACTCGAATTGTTGCGGCTTCACGCAGTCGGTCGGGTATCTGTGGATGGTTGCGAAATCCATCCAACACAACCCAAGATACACGAGGATTTGCCAAAAGGAAAATACCATAGTAAGGAACAATGCTTTCAACCATGGTCTAGTTTCTTGGTGCGAACGGATTTCGTCCAGGCGCAGTATCAACCTGTTTGTGGATCGAGTTCTCAGTTGTTCAGCCGCACCGTTTCATTTGTGTATAAATTTCCCAAAACTGGTCCATCCCGAAAAGGCTCCTTTATCTAAATAGGGTCGCTGGTTGCAATGGGGGGGTTCAGCAAACAAGGAATGCATGGGGGGACCGCCAGCCGACTGCAGCTTCAAAGGGTCACAAATTACCCTCGCACCAAACGTGGAACCTAACCTGACATTCGGAATCCCTAAGGGAAGATGGGTCGAACCACACCCCGAACCTCTGGCGATAGTTCCAGTTCCAAAAGCCGAGAGATCCGCTGGGCCGCAGCTCACGTTCGCCCTTCGGGGCTTGGCAACATCTCGGTTTCCGCGGGCCGGGGAAAACTCCGCGGGCCGAAAAGCCGACCTCGGGTACGAGTTCGCCGAGCTGGGAATCCCTTCGGCTTTTGGAAGTATTCTCAAATTCGCCGTTGAAGCCCTGTGGAATAAGACTTTTTTTGGACTAAGGTTCCGAAAATCATCTGGACAACGCACACTTTTACCACAGGTACTGTTTTCAGTAGTTCCTATTGGTTGCTGGTGGTAACGTGGGTCGGGGATTCGACTCTGTTGGTTTTTTTGAGCGGACCATTGCGGCGTCGGCTGTTTGCCGTATCGCCAAAGGCTTGTGTGGCTGGTGGTGTTTTAATGTTTTGGCCTTGGATTTGAACGGACCTCCGGAGACTTTGGGCCAGCGCATAGCTCCGAGCCTTTTGTGGGAAAGCTCCCGTGGGGGTTGCCCGAGTCAACTGGGTTCTTTAGGAACGGGTCGCGTCGCCTCGGACAGGAGGTGGACGACTTTGGCTGGGAGCTCGGATGGCCATCAAACTGGCATCGGGTTGAACCTGAGGTGGTTTAGGTCTGCGCAACTCTGAAGTGGGCTTAAGGCCGAGCTTGTTTCGCGAATGAAATGGAACGCTGAATTTGGCGGCAACGGCGCCGACGCCGACAACATGAGGTCAGTAGCCCAAGAATACGGTTATATTGCATTCCCTATTTGCCAGAAGTTGCGGAGATTCCAGGCAGTCGAACGAAGGTCATGATACAAGCCGAGTTGGGCATGTGAATTACCGGATCGCGCATGTTGCGGGCAGCGGAGCTGAACTGGCTGCAAGTCCCCAGATCGTGGGGAACGTGCCTTCATTGGCTGAACTGTCAGAGGACATGGACGGCACCACCCACCCCAACAGCCCGAAAAGACCAGGTCCCTTTGCCCATGGCCCGTTAGGGCAACACGAGAGTATAGCAGAACTCCGCCTTTTGAGTTGACTCATCCCCTTTGCTTGCCCAACGCCGTCTACTTTTACTGACAATTTGTTTGTTGAACATGTGCAGATAATATGTTGCAGGCGGAGAGGATGGCGCCTGCTCTATTTGCCTGGGCCCGGTGCCCAGTGCTCTAAGGGCCATTTCTGGTCTTCGGGTTCCATGTTGTCCGCTTCTTTTGGATGGGATCCTTGCTTCTCGAAGGGCGGATGCGTTTTTTCAATTTTCCCTAAGCAACAAGCTATTAAGTTGTGGCGGGGCGTCTAAATTCCGGCCAAGTCATATTGTCAAGCTCACCAAAGCTTTCAAGCCACTGATGGTGGCCCCTTTGTGGATCCATGGTTTAGGGCTGGTGACAATATGTGGTCGTCTTTTTTTCAGAGACCCCCCCCGAAATGGCGATGTTCCCTTTCATTTGAAACCACCTTTCTAGGGGAGCCAGCCTTGCCGTGGTTGGTTTCGACCCCTCTGAAAGTGGTTCACTTGTGGGTCCAATACCGACCAGTTTCAACCAAGGTGAAGTCCAAAGATCCGTTTCCACATATCTAAAGAGAAGTTACCCTCCCACCAACTAACATGGAAGTGCACAAACCCCCTTTCCATTAGGAAAGTAGGTTTTTTTTTTTTACAGGGGCCTGTGCACTTCCATGTTAGTCGGAGGGTAATGGATTCCAACCAACCCGCAATTGGGGGGGCATGTGGCCCTGCCCCCGTTCCCCTCCAAAGGCTTGCGGGCATCCCCAATAAACATGTGCATGGAAGCTTGTTCTAGCCCCGAAATCCGGCATCCGTTGAACATGGCAGGTGTTTATTTTGCCACCCTCCGATGGGACCTTTTCCTTGTGCCGGGTGAGATGATACTCGCTTTCCTTGAGGCTTGAAGGTGGCTGATGTGTGGCACTTGCCCAAGAGGACCTGGAAGTAAAAGGTGATAATCTTTTGGCACCTTGATTAAATGTGCACCGAATCAGGGAAAACCAAAAGTCAACGGTCGATTCGCTTTGGGCAAGTGAGACTTGCCATTGCTAGCCATTTCACGTCAAGCCAAGCGATTCCAAAACCGTGAAAGCCGGCGACAATTTATTAAACCTGACATCGTCACAATATAGGGTGTCTTCTTTTTTGAGTGGCAAAGACAGTTTGGACTTGGAAGGTTTTGGCTCAACTTTTCGAGCCAAACCCTAGAGGCAAACAATCGAGGTTCTGAAAGCAAACACGTCGAGAGTGTGGGTGAGAGGTGTCCTGGAACTAGGCTTCCCGACAAACGTCCGATTCTTCATGCTCGTTGCAAAGCTGTATTTTCAGGATCACCCTAGCCAGAGGGTCTCGTGGTACCTTCTGATGTACTCGAAGGATCCAAGGACCACCTCACAAGGTACTTGGACCCCAGCGCCACTTTGCGCCCCCTATTGTTCCCAGCGTCACTGTAGAAGCAATGAATGGGATTAAATTCATCCTGCCGCATCAAACCTGCCACTCCAGGCTGCGCTGTAGATATGGTTCCTATGGAGCATGACTTGGCCGAAAGGTGTTGTTGTTTTGTTCGGGCTAAACAGGTTCAGAGGTGCCTCCAAGTGGATGCGGGCAGGTACCCTTTTGTCTCTTTGGGATCAATTACAGGATTCCTTTGAGAGGAAATGGTCTTCCAGGACCCGAGTCAGGTTTCATGGGCGGCCGCCTCACCGCTTAGTCGGCTCGAGCCACTGGCGAATCGATTCGCCGATTCGAGACCGGCGACGATGGCGCCTTGTCGCCTTGGGGCGCGCGGGTGTTTCCCTTGTGGGGCGTTTCTCTGTCCCCTGAAGTTTTCAGCGGGGTCTGCAAGGAAAAAATCACCAGAGGCAACAAGAAGATGCAATTTGTTTCCTCATGGAAGCCCGTAAAAGCCGGGCTCCAAGCGACAAGTTCCGACTGCAAAAGCGCCAAAGGACGGACCATCATGTTGTAGCCTGCTCATTTCTTAGAAGCTATTCATTGGGTCACCAATCGAGATTCCTTCCCTGGCTCAAAACCTTAATGCGACCTTCACTGTTGTTGGCAGGTTTTAGGTGTTTTGGTTCGGTTCATTTTTAGCAGGGCTGCAAGAACAAGGTTTGTTGCTACCATACCAAGACTTCAAGGTGTTTTTGTTGAGTAAGAAATGGTGAACTTTTGAAGGCAGGTCCCGGTGTCTTTCCCAAGAAGATAAAGCACTTCATCATTGGTTGGTTTGAGGGTGTGTGTCAAGGCCATTTCATGATTTGTTTCTTGTGCTTCGATTGGCTACCTTTCGGGCTCTAACATGCCTCATGTTGGCAGTCGGGCAGGCTATCCACAGCTCACTCGCTCACTTCCCACGGGCGACCTTTTCACCTTTCGCCGTCGTTGTGTGGTCCACTTCCAGTGAAAGTACTAAAAGGGCTTTTTGAGGAAACCTGGTTTTAGTTTAGGGTTGGTGGGAACCTGGGGGGGAACCTGGGAACCTGGAAAAAGACCTGTAGTGTTTTTGGGGGAACCTGGGGGAAAAAGTCCAGATGGCTTGCCCCCTATGCCGCTGGCGTATGGGGAGCTTCAACATGGTTCAAAGGGCTGGACCAGAATGGTTTATCCTGAAGACACCGCACAAGGACAAGCCGCCAATTGAACTGCGTGCTTGCCTTCTTGGCCCCAATAGGATTTGAACATGGCGACATCTTTTTTTGGGTTTGAACCCAGAAGCGCGCTGATTGATCGCAGGGTGTTTTCTGTTGCCAACTAAAGACGCACATAGCTAAATGACGCTCCCTCCCATCATGATCATGGAAGCTGACAGAAGGGTGTTGGACTACTTTCCTTTTGGAGTTTGGCCCTTTGTCCAGTTTGACGGTTGGAAAACGGGTAGGTTGTGTCCCCTCAAGGGGACACCCCATGAATCAACCAGTTCAACTTCCGGGGTTCCGAATCCTTCCCAGGCCCTTGAGGGTGCCTGATAATGTACCCACAGAAGGGGGTCAAAAGGGGTTGATTAGTACAACCTCACAAGGTACAAAGGGAAACTTTGGGTTGGTTGATGCCAAGCAGTTCTTAAAATAAATCATGGCTGACAGTTTATCTCATAAACAAATCCTTTGGCCTTAATCTATTTTATGACTTCGAGTCACCCCAGACTTCTCGATTCGAGATCGATTTGGCCTAAGGCTCGCATGCTGCCGCTGGCGGCTGTGGTCCGGCAGCCAGTGAGACGAAACAATCCGAGGGACGTGGCGATTTCTTGCCGCGGTGACAAATCCCGCGTGGTGACCACCTGCCCCTTTTTCGGCTGGGGTAGACTTAGGATACATACTTTTTACCAGTGACTCAAGGTGAAGCAAACAATCAAATATACACTCTATAACTGGGCCTAACTCTAATCATGTCGGGAGGGCTTTTCTTTATCAACTCTTTTCCAACGGCCACGGTCTGGGAGCGTCAAGAAGGATCAACAGCAGAGGGATACGCTCTAGTTGCAGCACAACAGCAGGACGCTACGGGGCTCAGTTGCAACCGAAGCGAAACATACTTCATCTATAGGAAAGGTGATTCTCCAATCTGGGCAAGCGAGGGGGCTTCCCTTCAGCTCTTTTTCCAATGACCACGGTCTGGGGGCCCATGGTTGATTTCCCCCCAAGGAAACCAATTTGATCTGGTGCATTCCCGATCTCACTCCCGCCCCGTGACTGGATATTTGTTGGGCTTGAGGGCTTGGTTGCCATTTTGTCCGCCAAATGTCAGGGGCTTGCAGCGAGTGGTGTTCGATTTTGTTTGGTTGCCAATCCACGCTCCCATGGTCAGGTTTGCTTGGTTGGTGGTTAGGATTGGCGGTTTGGATTTGAACCCCTCCAGTTCTTGCTGGATGGGAATCCACCCAAACTCCACACCTCCAAACCACCGATTCGGCTCCAACCCGATTAGTGGGAAGCTGAAATGGCCATGGGTCAAATTCCCGTACCCCCAGTGAACATCCCAATCCAACCACTAAAATAGGTTCTAAAATGGGTGGTGAATTCACCTACCAAAATGGGATCCCAAAACGGTTTTGACAACCACCGAATCCCCACTAAAATAAATTGTTTGCACTTGCACCCAATCCAACCAAAATGGGATCCCAAAACGGTTTTGACAACCACCGAATCCCCACTAAAATAAATTGTTTGCACTTGCACCCAATCCAACCAAAATGGGATCCCAAAACGGTTTTGACAACCACCGAATCCCCACTAAAATAAATTGTTTGCACTTGCACCCAATCCAACCAAAATGGGATCCCAAAACGGTTTTGACAACCACCGAATCCCCACTAAAATAAATTGTTTGCACTTGCACCCAATCCAACCAAAATGGGATCCCAAAACGGTTTTGACAACCACCGAATCCCCACTAAAATAAATTGTTTGCACTTGCACCCAATCCAACCAAAATGGGATCCCAAAACGGTTTTGACAACCACCGAATCCCCACTAAAATAAATTGTTTGCACTTGCACCCAATCCAACCAAAATGGGATCCCAAAACGGTTTTGACAACCACCGAATCCCCACTAAAATAAATTGTTTGCACTTGCACCCAATCCAACCAAAATGGGATCCCAAAACGGTTTTGACAACCACCGAAGCCCGACTAAAATAAAGTGTTTGCACTTGCACCCAATCCAACCAAAATGGATTCCCAAAACGGTTTTGACAGCCACAGGCAAATGGTTTCAACCGCCAGACTCGACTCGACTCGCGAAGGTCTTGGCTCTGGGCGCCACTGCCTTCATCGCGCCCCAAGCCACACCCACCTCCACCGCGCTCGGAGCGCGGCGGAGCGCGCGCAGCGCGCCGCAGGCGGCCCAACGGCTACCGGCCGGGCGGTGGCGCGGAACCGCGGCTCCGGCCAAACGCACAAGTTTGAAAAGGAACCCTCCGATTGATTTGAGCACTTGGCCGTAGCGTATTTCGCGTTTCCCCTTGGTTAACTGGGCCCCTGACAAGTTTAAGTGGCTTTGTTTGCCCCTCACACGTAATTGGCATCACCATTGTTATCATTCTCAATTTGTTTTCCACCCAGCCTTTTTTATGATTCTTATTCCTATGATGTTGCTTTGTTTCGGTTTGTGTTTTTGTGTGGCTGGGGAGGGTTGGGGAGGGTTTAGTCGGGTCGTTAGCTACGTGGGCCGCCGCCGCCGCGGGTTCAGCCCGTCGCAGCACGAGTCCGCAGGCGGCGAAGGCGTCGAGCCTCACGGGAAGCAGCGTGGGCCTTGGCCTGGCGGCCGTCAGCGTGGGCCTGGCGCTGGCGAGGCGCGGGGCGCACGCCCGGGCCCTGTGGGCATGTTTCTTTCTCCCCCCACAAAAAATGTAGCAAAACATAGCAAACCATATCTTGTGTTTGGCAAAACAATATTCTGTTGTTGTCTTTTGCGTTTGTTTCTGTTGAAAATAAACCAGCATAATGTGTGTTGGTGTTTCTTTGTTTTTCTCCAACCTTTCTCTAACCCAGAGGGCCTTCATTGTTTGTAGCCTTGCAGTCTCGATGACCCAAAATAAGAAATGGTTGATCATAAAGGGACTCCAGACTCCAGTTGTTTCTGTATTTGAGCAGGATCCCTTACATGTTCCATCGCGGCAAGTTAGAATTACTTTCCTCTTGTTGTGATGTTATAAGGCAAACTATAGGCCGTGGATTGACAAATGCCTGGCGCTTGCTGGGATGGGTTTATCCCAGTATTCCCGGGGCTTCATCCATCTCAATTGGTGCAAAGTGGATTCTCCATCCACGGTATTGGAGGGGTTCACGTTGATAGGTGCATGTTGGACCCATGGGCTTATATATGCCATGTGGCAGCCAATCATCTAGGCGTTCATACCGAGGCTACCGAGGTTTATACACCCCTACTTTCTGGCAAGCTCAACGTTCTGGGCTGAATCCACTCAAGACCCAACGTAGGTCCTTTATCCACAACCGATAAAACCACCTAACTGAGTCCCAGCACCCAGAGAGTAGCCTGTCATTTCCATCAGACTCTTACTTCATTGGGGCCTTGTGGTTTGGTCACTGGCCTCGTTTGCCTCTCCGAAAAGCCCCACTAGTCAAGGGCCGTCAGCTTCCATTTGGTGAAGATGTTTGTTTATTTTCTCCCGGTTGTTTTAAAGGGAATCTATCACTGCTGGAAATATGTTCATCTGTTCTGGCGGACTTGAGCTGGGAGTAGGGTAAAACCTAGAGGTAAAACAGCCGGTGCCCTTTTTTTGCAGAGAGACTTCAGAATTGACGTTGGGGTCGTCTAGTCTGAACAGAAAACTGCCCGACTCAACGGGCTCAAAGGGCCGACCACCTTGTGAGGTTCCTTTCTGTTGGTTTTTGGCAGCTAAGCGTCTCAACCGTTTGGTAAGGGCAATGTAGAAATCAGTAATAAGTTAGCCAGCCAGGCTTTTACTGACCCCTTTCAGCAGACCTGCTTGGCACCCATTCGGGCGGGATACGGGTTCGAGAAGCCTTCCAATCTTGTGAGGGAAGTCACCCCAAGATGCAGCAAACATGGATCCACTCCATGCGAGCTCACTCACAACTTCCATTGGCTGAAGAACAGGTTTGCTTTTTCCTTATTGGTTTGCAAGGAAATCTATGACTACAGGGGACGTATCCGGGAATGGAGGACGAATACCAGGGGTGAGCTCCTTATTGTCCCATGCCCTCTTGTTGGCGCACGTGAACCGTCTAACAAATTCTGCACAGGTGCAGCCTTACGCAGCGTCGCTTGCGTTTGGCGGGCAAGGCTCACGGGTGGGGGTGAGGAAAACAGCAGGGCGCGCACCCAACAGACCAACAGACAAGAAGGATATGTCACTTCCAGTTGCTTAAGTTGGTGGTTCCCGCCATCCCCTTAGCTTTGTAGCTTGTTAGGGTTTGGTGAGGGTTTCCATTTAGCCCACTAACAGTTAAACTTTTAGCAGGAGTGAGGACAGCCCAGTTGAGCTTGAGCTCTTTGTAAATGCTTATTATGATCATGTCTATTGTTCCCCTGTTAATTTTAAAGGGAGTCTTTCACTACGGGTGGCTGTTCATGGATTGAATCGGCCTCAGTGTGCTTGGGCTCAATTTCTTAATGTGCAGTGTGTGTTCAACATGGCCTCTATGCAGGGGTTTGCATTTAGCGTTTCTTTAGCCTTGTCTCGATCTGCCAGGCTGTAATCTTGTTGTTTGCTTCTCTTCGCTTGCGCCCTGTTTGGTTAATGAAGGATAGAACGAGAGACTCACATAGCATGTTGTTTCCTTCAAGACCCATACCTGGAAATGGTTTGCTCAGCAAGATGGCTCACACATGTCTATCATGTCCTGTTTGTGGACGAGCCCTTGTCTTTCACTGATTTGTTCAGCATCCTGGTTTGCCGTTTGTTTGGTTGCCCCACAACAGATGCAACAACCCCAAAGTGTGTTTTGTTAAACGAACAATGTAACAAGTGGAACAACCGCCCCAAAATATGTTGTGTTAAACAAACAATGTAACAAGTGGAACCACCGCCCCAAAGTGTTTCTATATATATATATATGTTTTCGTACAGGGCCACTGGGAAACTGTGCAGCTGAGACCGTACAAGACACTGATGTTGGATTCTGACTGGCTGAGGACCGAGAAACAGAAGAAACATAGCCATGTTGTACAGACTGTAGTTCGCCACAGCCTTTTCGGCGTTGCCTCCATTTCCCTTTTTGGAAACTCCAAAAGTGGCAGTTTCCATGAAAGCTACCAGTAAATTGCAATTTTGAAGGAGGAAATTCAGTGACATTTGACGTCGATCAAAAGTGGCGCTGGAGGTAAAACGGCCACACAATTCACACTGTCCTGCAATGAGTCTAATTACAGGGCAATCGAATCATGCCAGGGTGTCATAGGTGGTGCGAAATGGATCCATCCGCAGTATGATTGTGGACGCCCATGGCTTGTTTCCATTTTTCGACCGGCATCCAAGCAATCGGGTCTTGGCGTTGAAGCCGACATTCTGTTCTTGGGCTTGAGATGGGTCTGTCTTTTTTACCCTTTTGGGTTTGATGTTAAAGGGACCACCTTTTTGGGGGGCCCCCTACAAAAAAGGTATAGATGTTCCCTGGCAAGCGGTAACCCCTGGTTGAATGTTCATTGCAGGATCCTTAACAACTTGCGACCATCCCATTTAGTTTCAGGATATGAGTATATATGTATGTACGTATATATTGCCCCCCCGTTCCCCCAAAATGGCGCAACGTTTTCCTTTTTGAATTTTCCTTAAATCCATCCAAAGGTACCCTCAAAAAAGACATGTTCACTGCACACGGTTTCGTTCTTGGGCCTTGTTTGTCGTGCGGTTTCCAATGTTCCGGTTCACGCTCGCTTCCGCACCAATGGGAGCGTTTGACTTGCACAGGTTATATCCTTGTGAACAAGGGGTGGTTTCCTTTCTACCCTCGAGCACCCACCATCCGGTTCTCGTCCAAGCACCTACGTTGACCGCTTGACCCCATGTACCAAGCAAATTATTGCGTTTCTGGGTTTCCAACATGGTCACTCGGACCAAGTGGGGCATACCCAGCCATGGTCACTTGGGGATGGAACCGCGGCCTTCTTGCGAGGTTCCACCTAATTTTTGTCCATGCCCAGTACGTCATTTCGTCACCCCGAATTTCCACTTAGGTACTGTAAAGATGAACTCCCAATTCTGTTTGCCTGGTGAAAACGCAAAAAAAGAACAAGTTTTGTCCGCTGTTGCGTTTCTGCCAAGGACATTCTCAAGGGCTGTCAGACAACAAAGTGTTGTTTTTAATTAATCAGGAGTTGTCAAGGGACACCCCCCCCAAAAAGAAGAAGAGAAAAGACATGTGTATATATATATACACATGTTCCGTGTTATATATAGATACAAACATATTATGTATAAGCATCGAGGCTGTTCCTTTCAAGTCCCAAACAACGAAACGACACATCCATTTGCCTGGGCAAGTCACGAGCCGGGAAAAACCGAGGCACAGAAAGGTCCATCAACTCTCAGTTACTTTTCCGGTTGCCACAAAATTGGCGAACACCCTCTCTTTATTGCTATTTTGATGCAGCTATTTTGTGATCTGTGGACTTTAGCTTTCAGGTTGAAACAGTGGGATTCTCCGAAATGGCCCCACAAGTGATGAGCTTTGTGCAGAGGGGTCGTCACAGCAACTTGCAACCCAGCGGACACACTTCTGACCAGGACATCCCGCGCCGCTTTGCCAAAGACGAGCGCAAGTTGCGAAAAGGAGTCAGGGCAAAGGATTGGGTTTGGCTCAGAGGGAAGCGTGAAATATACGTAGGCTTTTTTGGGCGTCGCTCTAAACCAACCCAAACAGGGTATCCTCAACAAAAAGACACCCGAGTGTGTGTGTGCGTGTTTGTGTGTGTGCTGTCCCCAGCCGACTGTGGGTCCAAAGATCAGGGATTTCTGTTGGATTTGTTTGACGCAATACGCAGATGAACGATATTACAAGCCAACATGTTTTTTCCCGTGGTTTATGCTTGGTCTTGCTTTTAGGAACTAATTTGGGTTGGTCTCCTTTCCCATGAGAACAGGCCGGGTTTTGACAGTCACACCCTTTCTTCTGAAGAGCGAGAAGCCTTTTTCTTCAACTGGGTCGTTCACCAGGCATGTCGGATTTTCCACTGTAAGTATTGCGAGCCAGCCACATCCAAGCACAACATCCTTCAAACTTGTAAATTATAGGGTGAATGATCCGTTCATTGCAACATCCATCGAAGTTCCGACCCTGGATCAATTATTCCGTTGTTTGTTTGTTTGTTTGTTTTTTCTGGGGGGGGCCCTTCCCCCACATTCTCACGTCCTGAGTTCAAGGACTTCAGTGAATGTTTAGTTTGGACCGTTTAAGTAAGCAAAAAGTGTAGTATATTTTTTTCGGTTGCCATCCACTCGATCGGAAGTGAACATTGTCGGATCACCTTTGAAATGGGACAGCCGTCCGGGCAATGAAACAGGGCCTTCTCATTGATGTCGCGGACGGGGCCTGCTTCGAAAGGATTTGTTCAGCGAGTGATTTGATTGGGCAACCAGCTTCTGGGTGTTTACATTCTTTTTTGCTCGGGACCCCGCCCCCTGAAACGCAACAACAGGCTGTTATTGTGTTGTTTTAAATTTTGAAAGTGGTTTTCCCTTTAACACCACGAAGAAGGTACCCTGAAGACAAGACGATTCCATTTAGGGAATCCCGAGGTACGGGAACCACAACTCGGGGAACCCACAGTAAGCAGAGACAACTTGAGCAAGAGGGAGACCATTAAACAAAAAAGGTGCACCTGGAGTCTCCATGACCCTCGAGAATTGGGTCCATGACCCGGTTTGTTTTGGCTAACCCCATGTTTAGAGGATCATGGAGACTCCAGGCAGATACAGAGTGCTCAAGCTCCACCCCCGCACTCCCCGAAATGTCCCAGGCCCCCAGATACTGTTTTTGCGAGGTGGAGCGTTGATATGTGCTTTTACTTTTTAGTAGAACATGAATGCACCAGCCAGCTAAACGAGGATGATCTCGACAGACTGAGCATATCCACTCGCACGGTTTCGTTGCAGAGCCTTTGTAGGCAATGTTACAGGGTTATGCCCGGTCAGACGTGGTGGTGCCCAGTCGGACTTTTTTTTCAAGATAGTGCTGCGTGTCTTTGAAACCGGCACCAAGCAAGATGGAAGGCCTCAACCTATTTTTTGGCACCCCGAGACAAGCTTAGTCTGAGATGTTCTGAGTTTATACGTCGCACAAGACACCAACCCTCAAAAAATCCTGCCTACAAATTGGTTATCGCCCCAAACACATGGGGCAAAACCCCGTGTTTCTCTTTTTTTGTTTTTAAGGGGACAGTTTTCGAGCCGTGTTTGTGTTTTTTTGTTTTGTTTTCAATATACATATATATATATATACATGTGTATGTGTATATGTATAGAAAAATGGGAAAGCTTGAGGGCCCGGGTGTTTTTGCTGGTCGAACATGAGGTAACAAGGAGCTGGCCTACGCGCTGATCTGCAGCGTCTACGGGGTGGGCAAGACCACCGCCTTCAAAATCTGCGTGGACACCGCGCTGGACCCGCACAAGCGCCTCGGCCAGCAAGTGGGCGTGCGTGGGCGTGCGAGTGCAACCCGAAAGATCTCCCGACAAATCAAGGGTTTGCGTTTTTTTTGTTTGGTGAAGGTCGCCTTTTTGGGGGTTGAAGGAAAACTATAGGGAAACCCACCAGTTTGGGGGGTCTCAACTGAAAGACACCCATTTCTCTCTTTGGTGGTCTTAAACGTCACCTGACGAGACCCTTCATGCTTGAGATGTGGACCCCGAAAACCATATTTCCTGCAGGGGGCCCAGTGTCCCATTAAAACAAACACCATTTAACTGGGGTAGCTGTATTTGTCAGATTTGTGCTCGATTGTTTGTATGATACCTTCGCCCAGGTGATTTCGTCTGAGGCAAAAGTCTGCAGGTGTAGTCCAGTCCCCTTTGGTTCTTCTGTTTTTTTTGATGTTGTCAAAAGTCCACAGACGGCCCACTTGGCCACCTTTCGGTCAACCGGGTCCCTCTGAACCAGGGTTAGGCTAAGAACGGTCACACATCCCCACCCCCTAAAAAATGGAATTGGGAGGGGGGTGAGCCCTGGAATTCCACTGGTAGTTCCATGTTCCCTTTTGTGGTAGACAAATGGCACTGGCCCTCCCCATTGAGGTAGGCGGGGGCCCCTTCACGGTTGGTAGAAGCTGAATGTTTATTTCACTTGTTTCCCTTTATGGTGTTTCTTCCGGCCGGACCGACCTGTACTTGCCCACTGACTGCTTGGCTGTCTTCTCCTTTGTGCCTATTCGGTTGGACCTTTGGACTTTAACTTCACTTTTTGGTTGAAACCGCTTTGATTTTCCAACAGAGCACGTACAGCTCCGTCCACGGCCGGCGATCAGAAAAATCAACCCAAGGAGCTTTAGACTGGTCCCCCGTAAAGGCTGCGAGTTACCCGCAGCCCCTTCTAGGAACACAAGTGCTGCCTCTCTCTTTTACTTGATGCCGCGAAGCGGCATTTTCAAGCTCCAAGTGAATGCATGACGTGTGCTTCGAGTGAAGCATCCTCGAAAGATGGGCTCGTCAGGCAAGGTCGTCAATGCATGGATGTTACTACAAGCTGTTTGTTTCGGGATTCTGGGCACACACCTTTTGATTTGTTTTTGTTAGGCGATTGAGACACTACTTTCCAGGAACAGATTGGGTCAACCGTATGTGCCTTTCAGCCAAGCACCCGGGGTTTGCTTTGAGAATGAGCGAGATCTTTTTCTAGGGGTTCGAACATGGAGGGCCTGCAGACCCAGATGGCATTCCCTCATTATTTCCAGCGTCCAGGGGTTTTCCTATTACACCGTAGGATTAGGCCTTCTGGGGAATCACCCTGCTCTAGTCTATTTCCTGGTTGGTTTGGTTTACTTGGGATTATGTGTAGTAGTTTCCCTTGGGTATAGTCCCAGGGTGGTACCAGGAAAGTCCTTAGAGAGCGTCGTGCTTTGAACGTCCGACCTAAGGATTGTGAATGAACTTTCAGAAGAAGAGGAGAGGGCCGCGGTTGAAGACGTGGGTAACCAGACCTCGGGCCAAAAACGACAGTCCTAGAACGCGCATTTTGCCCGTTGGACACAGCCAACAAGACCCCCAAGCCACTGACTGAGACTTTTGTGCTGCCAGGGGCTGGGAGCTTAGCCATTTCGGGGAGTGAGGTAAAGCTGAAAAACCTGTGCTCCGTGCTGAAACTTCCGCAACCTCCAATGTCAGATGTGGAGCTTTTTTTCACCTGCAGGAGGTGTTTGGCGAATCGTTGCCAGTTTTCTACAGGACTGTAGATTAGCTCAGGTACCCATCTCTTCGTACAATTGCCGAGCTACCCTTGGACGATATTTTTGAGAGTCACTGGTGGAAACGGCGAAATCTGCCCTTGTGTATCATATCGATCATGCCGCGAGGGAGGAGCACAGCATCCCGACATTTGACGTGCAAGTCTGTCGTTCTCCCGAAAGCCCAACAAGGGTACCCTTCATCTATCAGCTTTGAAGTGTGTTACTACGCAATTGAGTGAAAAAGGAGCTGCGTAAGGCGTTGCAGCCATCTCCAAGTGACCCAAGTGTTAGCGCTTGCAAGGTGATGTTGCGGTTAGTGGGGTGGTTTTTCAGCCGTAAGAACTCGCCCCTGACGTGGTTGGATCAAACAGACATGCCAAGCAGTTGCCTTTCCACACTTACAATGGCAGTAGTTTTGCCTCAGCATCAACCCACGATCGTGCTGTAGGCACCACTGTGGCTGCCCCAGCTGTGGAAATTTCCTTTGCTTCCTCTTGTTTGGGTCCACGGATAGACACATTCGAAAAAACTCCAGAGTTGTTTTCCGCCCTTGCCACCGCCCTTGCTAGATTCTAAATAATGAGAGAATCATGTGTTTATTTTGCAGACCTAAATCATCAGAATGGGGGTATGGGGTACTTCAAACCAAAATTAAGGTGCAGGCATTGGGGTCGTCCTCGGACAGACGTGGGTGGCGGGATTTGTTCACGTGTTGGGTTTTGAACGCAGGAGATCCGGCTGGCTGAGGAGATCGAAAAGTACACCTTGGAAAACCCTTTGCGGCGTATGTACAAGGCCCGACATAGCTCGATGGTGATCTGTTCGTATTTAAGAGTACCCTTTTTGTGTTGGCTCTAAGGGAAGCCAACGCGAATACCACCATTCTGGTGAGTCCCTCTATTTTGGCACCTACCCAATATGCAGAGCTCGTACTTGGCCGCCTCAAAAGGCTAGACTA